CCCATCAGTAGATGAGTGGATAAAAAGATGTTGGTACATTTATACCACAGAATACTATATAGCAGTAAAAAGGAAGAATCTCTTACCCTTGAGTCAGCATGAAAAGGACCTGGAGAGTATCATGGTAAGTGAAATAAGTCAATCAGAGAAAGACACATATCACAAGATTGCACTCATGTGGAATCTAAATAACAAACTGTTGAATGGAGTGACTCCAGAGACATGGAAGCATGGAACAGAGTGCAAAATCTCAGAAGGAAGGTGGGTGAGTTTGTGCTGGTTGGAGGTAATTAATCAAAACCTTTTATGCACATATGCATAACCCATGGACACAGACAATAGTGGCCAATGGGGGATAAAGAGGGCATACATAATACTTTCAAAAATAGAGAATTACAAATAAATAAATAAAAAGAAGTGTTTATTTAGGTCGTTTGCCCATTTTTTCTTATTGGATTGTTTGTCTTCCTTATGTTCAGTTGTTTAAGTTCCTTATATATTTTGGATATTAACCCTTTATCAGATGTATCATTGCCCCATATATTCTCCCATACAGTGGGTCCCTTTTTGTTTTGTTGATGGTTTCTTTTGCTGTGCAGAAGCTTTTTATTTTGATGTAGTCCCATTTGTTTATTTTCTCCTTAGTTTCCTTTGCCTTAGGAGATGTATATGTCAACATATTGCTGCAAGAGATGTCTTAGATTTTGCTTCCTATAGTTTCTTCTAGGATTTTTATGGTTTCACAACTTACATTTAACTCTTTTATCCTGTTGAGTTTATTCTTGTGTATGGTGTAAGTTGGTGATCTAGTTTCATTTTTTGAATGTATCTGTCCAATTTTCCCAACACCATTTATTGAAAAGACTATCTTGACTTGATTGTACGCTCTTGCCTCCTTTGTCAAATATTTATTGAGCGTAATTGCTTGGGTCAATTTCTGGGGTCTCTGTTCTGTTCCATTGATCTATATGCCTGTTTTTGTGCCAGTACCAGGCTGTTTTGGGTTATAATGGCTTTGAGGTATACTTCTCTTTACACCTTACTGAGAGTTTTTATCAATAATGTGTGTTGGATTTTGTTGAATGACTTTTCTGCCTCTATTGCTATAATCGTGTGATGTTTGTCTTTCAGTTTGTTTATGTGATGTATCACATTTATTGATTTGTGAATATTGTACCAACTTTAATCCCTGGAATACCACTTGGTATGATGTATGATCTTTTTAATGTTTTGCTGGATCTGGTTTGCTATTATTTTGTTGAGAATTTTAGTATCTATGTTCATCAGGGCTATTGGCTTGTAATTCTCTTTCTTTGTAGTGTCTATCTGGTTTTGGAATTAGGATGATGCTGGCTTCATAAAAAGAGCTTGGGAGTGTTCCTTCCTCTTGGATTTTCTGGAATAGTTTGAGAAGTACAGGTGTGAGTTCTTTGAATGTTTGGTAAAACTCCCCTGTGAAGTTATCCAGATCTGAACTTTTGTTTGCTTGGAATGTTTGATTACTACTTCTATTTCATCAATTGTTATTGGCCTATGCAGGTTTTCTCATTCCTCCTGATTCAGTTTTGTGAAATTATATTTTTCTAAGAATTTGTCTATTTCCTTCAGGTTTTCTAGTTTGTTGGCATATAATTGTTCCTAGTATTTTCTTACAATCCTTTGTGTTTCTCTGATATCTGTGATTACTTATCTGCTTTAGTTTCTGATTTTATTTGTTTGGGTCCTCTTTGTTTCTTGATGAGTCTGGCTAACAGCTCATCAATCTTGTTTATACTATCAAAGGACCAGCTCTTGGTTTCATGAATTTTTTTATGGTATTTTTTTTATTTCCTTCCTCCTGTGTTTTTCTTGTTTTTCTCTTTCTAGTTCTTTAGGTTGTAGGTTAAATAGTTTAACTAGACAGCATAGAGTTGGGTCATGTTTTTGTATCCATTTAGCTACCCTATGTATTTTGATTGTGGCATTAAATCTATTTACATTTAAGTTTATTATTAATAGGTATTTATTTATTTCAACTTTAATTCTGTATGGCTAGATTTCTCTCTCTGTCTTCTCATTATAGCAGTCCCTTTAGCATTTCTTATAATGCTGGTTTGGTGTTAATGTATTCCTTTAGCCTTTTTTTTTTTTTTTTTTTTGTCTGGGAAGCTCTTTATTTGACCATCTATTTTTAATAATAGCTTTTGCTGGATATAGTAATCTTGGCTTCAGATCCTTGCTTTCCATTACCTTGAGTACTTCATGCCATTCCCTTCTGGCCTGTAGTGTTTCTGATAAGAAATCAGATAGAAGCCTTATAAGAGCCCCTTTGCAGGTATCAATTTGCTTTTCTCTTCCTGCCTTTAAGATTTTCACTTTGTCTTTAATTTTTGGTATTATAATTATAATGTGTCTGGGCATGGGCCTTTTGGGGTTCGTCTAATGTCTTCTCTATTTGTACTGACATTCTTTATTTCTGTTTTCATAGTTAGTATATCTTTTCTCATGCTGTTGAACATCTTTACCAACATTATTCAGAACTTTGTATCAGATAAATTTCTTATCTCCATTTCCTTTATCTGTTCTTGAGAATTCTCTTGTTCTTTCATTTGGGGGTTGTTTCGTTATTTCCTTATTTTGCTGCCTTTTTGGGTTTGGGACTATGTATCAGGTAAATCTGATACACCTCTCAATTTCTAGTGCAGTACAGTGTCAAACGCTGTTTCTGACTAATTAGGTCACCCAAAGACTCAAAGCCTCCAGAGACTGCCTCTGCCTGCAGACTGCCTCTGCCTGTAGTCTTGAATACCCCTCAGGCAATCGTCCACAGGTGTCATGAGAGTCTTTCCAACAGGGTGTGGCAGTGGCTTCCAACTAGGGGCTTATTGTTATTCTCAGTGTCTTAATGGGTTTCAGAAACTCCACAGTGTTGGACAAGGTGTTTTCCAATAGGGTGGGTCAACTGTCTTCCCCCACAGGCAAAATTGCCTGTATAGCAATTATCTGCTTTGGAAAGATGCCCTCTGGAGCATGAGGGAGTGACTCAGCACAGGAAACCAAGGGTTTCTGCCTTCTCTGCTCTAACCCCAGAGCTCCAAACCCTGGCTTCTGCTCACACAGCTCTAGTCCACTCTGCCCTTCCTCTGGCGGAGCACAAGGTGAGTGGCTTACAGGGATTTTCATGTGTTGGCTCTTTGAGGTGCCTACATTTCCAGCCATCTCTCCCTGGCAGACAACAATCCTGCTGCTTTTTATCACAGATATTATGTGGGTACCCTTCTCAGTTCTGGTGCTCTTTACTTGGGGATTAGACCCCAAAGTTCTCAGTGACAACCCCCCACAGTTGAGGTATCTCTCCGGAAATTCAGTTGCTCTCTGTGGAAGCCCAGCCAGCCCTTTTGAGCCTCCAGGTCTTCTACCAGTCTCTCTGTGGTCTCCACTTTCAGTCCTTGGGTATCAGGGTTCTCTCCAGTGAATCTTCAGTTGATTATTCAAGGATTTTTTTCTGTATTTTAGTTGTAATTCCAGTTTGGTCCTGGGACCATGTCCCAGCAGCATCCACTTACTCCACCTCCATTTTTATCTCCCCAATACTCAAGATTTTCTTAACAAAATTTCTGATTTAAATGTTAACTCATAAAAGTGGTATCAGGGTCAAATGAGAGCAGAATACAATCTTCTGACTCAGGCTATTTCATAACCATAATTATCTATATAATAAAGAAGTAATATTCTAATTGGTCCTAACAGTGTCCCAGTGACAACCGGTTAACAGGTTGCTCGCGCAGGTTAACAGGTTGCACAGGAGCTGATGGGCAGGGACTTCACTCCCAGTGCTGGTACGTGCAGGCCTGCCCAGCACTAACATCACGCTGCTTTGGAGGCAGAGGCCACTCCCAACAGAGGCACGTGCAGGCTTCCGGTACCCGCCCAGCCCAGAGGGAGGCATCAGGACAGGCCGTGGCAGTCCCCCCGCCCCCATCCTGGTGAAGGCGCGAACAGGCCCACCACACAGCTCGGCCTGGAGGGGGGTGTCAGGATGGGGTTGGAGAGAGGAAGGGAGAGCCGATGCGCCGGGTTCTAGAGGTGCAGAGAGGAAGGGAGAGCCGATGGGCAGTTAGGGGGATCAGATCAGGGGGGGAGAGCAGATAGGCAGGGAGATCAGACAAGGAGGGGAGGACAGTTAGGGGGATCAGGCCAGCAGGGGAGAGCAGTTAGGCAGTTAGGGGGACCAGGCCAGGAAGAGGAGCAGTTGGGGCCATCAGGCTGGCAGGGGAGCAGTTAGGGGCATCAGGCAGGCAGGCAGGTGAGCACTTAGGAGCCAGTGGATCTGGATTGCGAGAGGGATCCCAGATTGGAGAGGGTGCAGGCCAGACTGAGGGCCACCCTCCCATGCACGAATTTCGTGCACCGTGCCTCTAGTAATCTTGTAAGAGTCAAGGTATCTTAATGGGTTTCTTTCACTTACCTGTTTTATTTTCATGAATATAAGTATACAAGTATATTTGCTAGGGTGACGTTTTATATTTTGCACCTTTATGTATATTGTATACTTATAGATAATGTATTTAGATTCATTGTAAATAGATCTCTACTGAGGTTAAAGTGTCTATTATTATTGGTCATATAATTAATTGGTAATACATGGAGTTTGTATTTGATTTTATTACTTCCATTCCGCCCCCCCCCCACACACACACACATTTATTAGATTAAAATATGTCAGGTGTGAAATGTTAAATTAGAAGAATTCTAACCATTGATTGTATGTTTAAGCTTAACAATGCATATTTAGTTCATTTTTTTTTTATCATTTTAGTAACGATGATGTTCTGTTGATTTCTGTGGAAAATCCTAATTTGACAACACCAATTACATCAAATCTAACAGGTATCTTAAGTTGATTAAAATGCAATTTATTAATTTAGAAAGCTTCAAATCAATGTTTAGAGAATTGAATATTACCTTTTAATAAAACAAAATTCTACTCTCAAAAATGTTTTAATTTATATTTTATTTATATTCCCTAAATAAATAAAGGACCTTTTGTTTCCTTACCATTTGTTTAATGGCTTTGTAAGTTAACTACTTACCTTTCACACATACATTATTTTTACTTCTTTGCTCTGGCCTGCGTTGGTGGGGTGTTGTTTTTTTTAATGTTTATTTTATTGATTTTAGGGAGAGGGAGAGAGAAACATTTATTTGTTGTTCCACTTATTTATGCATTCATTGTTGCTTCCTATGTGTGTCCTGACCAGGGATCCAACCCACAACCTTGGCATATCGGAATGATGCTGTAACCAACTAAGTTACCCAGCCAGGGCCGGTGGCGTGGTTTTTGTTTTATCTATTAAGTTATCTTATATTTTACTTAAGATTTAAAGTTCGCCTATTTTTTAAAAATTTATTTTAGAGAGAGAAAAACAGCAATTTGTTTTTCCACTTATTTATGCATTCAGTGGTTGGTTGACTCTTGAATGTGACCTGACCAAGGGATGGAACCTACAACCTTGGCATAGTGGGATGACATTCTAACCAGTTGAACTACCCAGCCAGTGCAAAGTTTGGCAATTCTTTAGTATATTTGATTTTTTTTTAATTTTTGGTGTTTTTATAATACTGTTGTTGCTCTTCAGAGTTTCTGACTTATTATATTTATGTACACTATTATACCTTAACCTTAAATTTCAAATAAATTTCCTCTCAAAATAGCTCTCTGGTTGGCCCATCATTGCTCATTCAAAATTCTCCATTTCATTTTAATTTTTATGATATATTAAGTATTTGCATTTTAATTTCAGAAAGCTTTGTCTCCACTTATGTAGCTACTTAATTGCCCCTGTGGTTTGTGCTGCTGCTATTGTGAATAAAATAGTTTAAGGAATCTTTGAGGCTTTCTTATTGGTTCTGTGAAGAATGCTCAGCCATCTCAGGTATTCTGATCTAAAGATACTGAACAAAAAATGTGTACATTTTCATTTATTTCCTCAAATGGTATTTACAGATAGATTTTCAAGAGTTGCTAATATAGTTGTAAAGCTTCAGAAGGACAAAATATTTTGAACTAAAATTATATTTTGTTTTAACTTGCTCATCAGTCTTTGGTATAGCTAAAGTCAATTGAATTACTTTTTATGATTGTATAATAAGCAGATAATTAGCATTCCATTATTATTGTGTTTTAGCATTTATATTTTACAAAGTACATACATATTTAATAGTTTAATAAACTTGCCAAATGTTCATATTTTAATAATTTTCTTTCAGATACTGGAAAAATTACATCAGGAAATTCTAATTCATCTAATGCTGTTACTGAAGTTATGGTAGGTAATAAATAATTGTCTTTAAATGTTGTTTATTTGAATGTGTTAGTTCTAGGAGTTAGCAAAACCAGGTTCTAGTCTAGCTTGCATTAAAAAGCAAACAGCTAATGATAAGTATATTTTACAGTCATACTTAAAAAATTAAGTTATTTGGACACTGCCTAGTCATATTCTCAAACTATAAAGTATTTCATGAGTTTCTCACAGGAGAGTTAAATTAAAACATAAATATTTATAAATTGTTCAATCTCTAGTTTCTGTATGGTAATCTAAAATTATGTGTTTTATTTTTTAAAAACATCTTTCCGCTATTGAGGCAAAAGACTTTTTTTTTTTTTTAACCTAACTTTTTAGGCTGTAGAGGAAAAGAGTCTTGATTTTGTGATTGATCTGACTAAAGAAGGTCTATCAAACTGCAACACAGGTAACGGCTTTGTTTTTTTAAAAAAGAGGAAAGGGTAACAACTCAAAATGTGTTTGACCAGTTTATGAAGTTTATTTTAGTATGTGTGTGTTACAGCTCTATACAATTTTTTATCACATGTGTACATTCATGTTACTGCTACCACAATCAAGCACACAACTGTTCTGTCACTACAAGATTCCCTCATGCTGACCTTATTATAGGCATACCTACTTCCTGCCCCCAGTCTCTAAACCCAGACAGCTGTGAATCTGTTTCTACCTTTATAGTTAGGTTATTTAATGGATGTTATATAAATATGATAATGCAGTATGTATCTTTGTGAGATTGGCTTCTTTCACTTAGTATGATTCCCTGTGAATGTTATCTAAATTATTAGGTGTATTAGTTTTACTTTTTATTGCTGAGTAGTAGTCCATGGTATGGATGTATAGTAGTTTATGTATAACTAGAGGCCCAATCCACGAAATTCATACAAGAGTAGGCCTTCGTGGCCCCGGCTGCCCTGTGGTCCCATCCTCTGCCCAATGGTCATTCCAGAGGGTCGTTCTACTGTGTGGTCTAATTAGTATATTACCTCTTTATTATATAGGATAGTTTATCCATTCACTCAGTGAAAGATATTTGGGTTGTTTGGGGCTACTATAAATCTCTTTTCTACCTATGGTATCATGTTTAATTCCTTAACTATAACAATAGTGGTTGTGAGAAGATGCGAGGGCATGTAAACAAATCCATCTAAAGCAGTGGTTCTCAACCTGTGGGTCACGACCCCTTTGGGGGTCGAATGACCCTTTCACAGGTGTCGCCTAAGACTGTCGGAAAACACATACATAATTACATACTGTTTTTGAGATTAATCACTATGCTTTATGTTCAATTTGTAACAATGGAATTGGGGGTCACCACACATGAGGAACTGTATTAAAGGGTCGCAGCATTAGGAAGGTTGAGAACCACTGATCTAAAGGCACTGGAGAAAAAAAGGAGCAACTTTAATCAAATAACAGTTTGCAAACCAGGTAGACAAGGCCTCTGTTATAAACCAAAAGCACGCTTCCAAGACAAAGGAGAGGCCATTTTTTACAGAAACCTTCCCACCCATAGTTTCCATATTTGCCTGCTTCATGTAAATGAGGTTTCCAAATTGTACAGTTTGGATTGGTTAGTATACAATCAAATAAGGGTACATTTTGTATAGTTCTGATTGATTGGGGCAGGTCATAGTCTATTGGTTAGATAATAATATGGCAATCCTATATAATAAAACCCTAATATGCTAATCGACCAAAAGGGAGAACGACCAGTCACTACGATGCGCACTGACCATCAGGGGGCAGATACTCAATGCAGGAGCTGCCCCCTGGTGGTCAGTATGCTCCCACAGGGGGAGCTTCGCTCAGCTACAAGCCAGGCTGACCGCTACGAGCACAGTGGCAGTAGCGGGACCCTCTCTCGCCTGCTTGGCAGCGCTAAGGATGTCCAACTGTGGCTTAGGCCTTCTCCCCCTGGGGGAAGCGGAAGGTGGACATCCCCCCAAGGGTTCCTGGACTGTGAGAGGGTGCAAGCCGGGCTGAGGCCCCCCCACCTTGTGAGTGCACAAATTTTTTTTTTGTATGAAACTGTGCACTTGAATATTTAAAGGTTATTTGTGTCACCTCTTGTGTGGTGATTAACCTATAGATTATGATTTCACAAATCTAGTTGTATTAATTAAACAGTTTAAAAAGTTTGTACAGACTCTTATAATTATAATCACAAAGTCATCACCTCTTCCAAAAAGGTTTTTTAACATAGTAAATAAAGTGACTAATAAATTTGAAACACAATGCAGATTCTTAATTGTCCTTGTCCATAAAAAATATATATGTTTCAATTGGAGGAGATTCATTGAGTGTATTAAACAGTATGTCATTGCACACACAATGGATCTAAAATGATTTTTACTGCTTATTATGTTCAAATTTCTGAAATGTTTAGAAGTTAGCATTCTACCCAGCCTTACAACTTTCCAACATGAAACCCCTTTTTTTACCATCCTCATACTGTCCCTAGTTGTTTTCAAACTGTTCTTGCACCTTTTAACCTCTTTTTTTTCCTCATCCACATTTTCCCTATTTTTCCTTTCTTTCTTCTCAGTGTCTCTCTTCTACTCTCCCTTTTGTCCCTGCTCCTTCCTCTTCCCTTTTCGCAGTCCACATTTCCCATCTAATTCCCTTTAGGCTAGCATAGACCTCAGCAGTAGAGATTCCTTCAATCCCAGCCTGCATGATTTTTCCCAGGACTGTGTGTATCACATATTCAAGCAGGATTGTAAATAGCTCTGTGTTTGCAAATATCCTTGTTAACCTAACAAAGCACAATCCTCCTCCGGGACCACTGAGCAGGGAGCTCTCTCCACTGTGTAATTTTTCCTGGTTCCCAGTTACATAATGACTTAACTATTTACCTTAAGTGGGGAATTTGTCATATTAAAGGAAAATTCTCTATTTGGTAACTTTGGATCTTGAATTTTTTATCAAAAGTTTAGCTCACATTTAATTACCACCCACATTGTAAACTATTCTTTGCTTAAAGGCTAAGGGATTGAATGTTGCAGATGAATTTAATTTTTAAAATCTTGTGTTGTTCACAGAAAGTTCAGTATCCATGCTGGAGTCATATATGAAATCTGTGTCAATCTCAAAAGAGACAACACCAATGGCCCAAAATGAAACCCAGGTACTGATATGAAATGCTCTGAAAGGGATAGTCATTTCAAATTGAGTGGAAATGGAAGTGCCCATTTTACTCATGAAGAAATATTTTGGTTACATTTTAGCTTAGATTGCACTTAATGTCCTTGTGTAAACGTTCTGTTGTGCCTGGTCAATGTGGCTGGGTGGTTGAGTGCCGACCTATGAACTAGATCATAATTCAATTCCCAGTCGGGGCACATGCCTGGATTGTGGGCTTGGTCATCGATGGGGGGGAGGGGTATGTGTAGGAGGCAGCCAATCAGTGATTTTTCTCTCATAATTGATGTTTTTATCTCCCTTTCCCTCGCTCTCTCAGAGCAATAAAAATATATTTAAAATAAAAATGTTCTATTGTGAGTCTACTTACACAACTAAAATAATTTCATTGAATTTTCTAGAAGCTACAAGAATTAAAACAAATACATTATTTTACTCCACGAATTTGAAAAGATTTTTAAGAGTAGTAGCCATTGTTGCTGACAGTGCACGGAAATGGGTGTTCTCGTACACTCACATTTTTTGTATAAGTTAGCAGTGTTTGGGAACACAATTTGGAAATGAGATGGAACATTATCCAGAATGTCTGGACCTAACCCATTCTGTTTAGTGTGATATTCCAGAGTGTAGAAGTCTTAACTGTAAAAGAAACTTAAGCTTAAAAAGACTGGATCCAACCTTACAATATTCTTGAAGCATCCTTTTGTTATCGAATACTAGAGGCCCAATGCACGAAGATTCATGCAAGAATGAGCCTTCCTTCCCCTGGCTTGCCAGCACCGCCTTCACTCCGGCCAGAGCCACCTTTCTGACTTCGCTCCAGCCTGGAGCTGCCTTTCCACCTTCCCACGCTGCCCAGAGGCCTGGAGCGGCTGGGGCAGTGGGGAATGACCACCGCGGCTCAGCACCTGCCTATGCAAATTAACCCACCATCTTTGTTGGGTTAATTTGCATACTCATTCATGATTGGCTGGTGGGTGTTGCTAAGGTACCTTATTAGTGTAGATATAAAAGCCTAAGTAACCAGCCAACTGTTTGACCGGCCGACTGGTAGCTATGGCAAACACTGACCACCAGGGGGCAGATGCTCAACGCAGGAGCTACGGTGACTTGCCAGCTGTGGTTCTTCGGTGATGCACCCGGAACCAGAGAGGAGGGAGCCTGGTTCCAGGGTGTCACCCATGAACCGCCCTCTCACAATCCGGGACCCCTCGGGGGATGTCGGAGAGCTGGTTTCAGCCCAATACCCGTCGGCCAGGCCGAAGGACCCTACTGGTGCACGAATTCATGCACAGGGCCTCTAGTGATTTTTATAAATGGATTGAGGAGTGGGAAATAATATGTTGTAGAACTGCAGTCAACTACTTTAAAATAATTAGAACCCACCAATTCAGCTCACTAAACTTTTCATAAATGTATTTCAGGTTCCTGAGTCCTTTGAGCATCTGCCACCTCTCCCAGCACCACCACAATCACTACTGGATCCGGTAGACAAAGTTCGAGACACACTTCCTCCCCAGAAGACTGAGCTCAAAGTGAAACGGGTGCTGAAACCCAGGGGCATTGCCCTGACTTGGAACATCGCCAAGATCAATCCTAAGTGTGCTCCTGTGGAAAGCTACCACCTCTTCCTGTGCCATGAGAACCCTGGTATTAAGTTAATTTGGAAGAAAGTTGGAGAAATTAAAGCTTTACCACTCCCAATGGCCTGTACTTTATCTCAGTTTTTAGCTTCTAACAGATATTATTTTGCACTCCAATCAAAAGACATTTTTGGGCGATATGGACCATTTTGTGATATAAAAGCTATCCCTGGATTTTCTGACATTCTTACATAAAAGAAAAGACTTCAATAATTATATATTGTACTACATTTTGTTTTTTTTCATATTTAAGTTTTATTTACAATGTTCTTCTAATACTATTTGCTATCTTAAGGGCCAGTTAAGATTGTGAACCCTTTGTGTAGGGACAGTCCTCTTCCCTATGTCGTAATGGCCTCTAGTTTCATGAATTTCTAATTCAATAAGTACTTCCCATGGATATGTTTCAAAACATACACTATCATGGATCCATGTCATTAAGCTGTGCTGGGTACAGTACTTTTGGTGACGAAGGAGCTGCTGCTATCAGAAACCCTAGGATACAAGCAGCCACTATTTCCTCTGTTAACAACCAGCTTTTGGTGACCTGCTTGTGGTCAGTATAGGTACAGGAAAATCAGCTCTTCACTCAGGACAGATCATCCCTGGGGTGCGTCTCCACCAAGATTTTATGAAAATAAATGTCTTTGCGTTCTTTTGAAATTCTAAGAGCTAATAGTTTGTGTCCCTCCCTCTCTTTTCTTACATAAATCATTTGGGGAAATAGTCTGGAGATTTTCCCCAAATCTGTATACTTACATGTATATAATAAACTTAGTCAAGCATTGTGTGCTGTATACACAAAACAGTATCTTTTGTAAAAGCATTATCCAACCCATTATTTCAGTTGAGAAAAATGGAATTGTCTGCCTTAGATTTAAGGCTTTAATTTGCTGATTCCCTATTGCTACCCATATTTGCTCATTCCTGGTTGCCATTATTACTTGAAGAAACGACATAATACTAGGGACTCCAGCAGATGTGTCCTGTGCAGACCTCTACCTGAGGGAGCACTGAGGTGAAGCTGTGACCAGCATATGTAGCCCAGCGAACTCAAAAAATGAACAGACTTATAAGTATAAGTCAGGGCTCAGTGGGACAAACTGTGGGATGCTGAGGAAACAGAAAACTGTTAGTGTGAAAGTCTATTGAAGAGATACATTCTTTCCTGGTACCTGGTGAATGTTCAGGTCTCAGCGGGGCTGAGATTTTAAAAACTGAACAGGAAATAGTTTTCCTTGGTATTCTGTGAATGCCTTTACATTTTCAGTCATAAATAAAGCTGTTACTTTAAAGTCTCTTGTGTTTTTCCCTTCTCAAACATTACAACTGACTGACGGAGACAGAACCTGAACTGGGTTGGATAAGACAAGCTGCCCTCCTGTGAGGTCCCATTTCAGACTTACAGCAATGGAGGGCATCCTGCAGCACAGGACAATGGCTTCACTTTGGGGAGGATCATCTCCTTGGGTTGACGAAGACTAATGTTCACTTGCTAAGGAAACCAAAAGGCAACACAATAAACAAGATTCGGGTGTGCATCACCAGAGTGGAACTACGTCTTCAGCTGGCAAATCTGCATGTTGATAGGCACAGTCTTAAGCAAAAGAACTTTCACAGTAATAGGATGAAGGAGGAAAGCTGACAGCAAGCATCTTGGACATAGCTCAAAAGACAATGTTTCTTGCCTTTTGGAGGGGCAAGATTCTCCACTTACCTATTAGTGACACCAAAAGAGAGCCAGCCTAAGGACAATAAAGGTCCAGCACATAGTCCAGGGAGCAAACACCTTACCCACCCTGGGAAACACTATGTACTTTTGGTGGGAAAACCTTATGCCTCCTTTAAGCAAGACCCAAATTCTGATGAACTAAATTCAATAGTGAGAAAAGGCTATGGGGTGGCTTGTGGAATCCCCAAGGAACTGAGAGACCCAGGCTTGGAGAATAGACAGAGGTAAAAAATACTTGGCAACAAATGCATGAAGTTTCAAAACAGTTGATGCAATTCATATTCTACCACATAATGATATGTTAAGACCCTTGTCCATTTTTAAAATGGGGAAACAGGCCCAGGGAGCTTATATGGCTTGTCCAATTCGTATACCCAGTCCATTCAAGCCCAGCACCGAGGTCCTGGATTCCCACTATCTTCACCACACTACATGCCTCCTGGAGACTGGACAGGTGCAACAGGAAGAATTCACTGCTGCCCTGGCTGCCATTTGCCTCCACAATCAAAACCAGGTACACATCTGATGGGCTTATTCCAGGGCAGGTGTGGAAGCTGCAAGGTGAACAAGAAAGCAAACCTCTGGCATCTTTGGTCAATGAGGGATGCACTCCTCTGCCTTTGACCCTCATAAGACAGGTGTGGTCACTTCGTATTGTGTCCATGTCGCTATGCTGAAACAACCTTTCCCAAGAAGTCCTTCCCTGGCTGGTTCAAGATTAGCCTGGGTCATAAGACATTGCATGAGATTCAGAAGCAGAATGAAACCAGTCTCGTTTTATGTTCTGATGGTGGATAAAGGGCATCAGCACAGCAGCTTGTACCCATTTGAACTGCTGGCTCATGGACCTGTAGCTTAGCCCAGAGCCGCCTTTGCCTGTCCAAGTACAGGGCACCTTATGTATGCTGTAGTCCCATGGCTTCAAGGGCAGATGTCGTGACACAGACACACTTCAGGTTCTTGCTCTTATCCACATCCACTCTTCCTTCACCACTGCCACCTGGCTGACCTCTAGTGACTCCTGGCTCAATAGTAGACTCGGAAGAGTTTGCACAGCCTTCTCCACCAGCTCTGCCACACTGGGCCAAGTCCAGCCCTATAGTAGATTCCTTGTTCTACAGCTTCAGTGGCTCCCTCACTGAGACAGAGTGTCCTCAGGCAGAGGAAGAGTAGCCTCACCCAGGAGTGTTGAGTATGGCCCTAGCTTGTCCCACTGTCCTACAGAATGAGATGTTTCATATTATTCCCATAGGGTATTAATATAGGGAAGGGGCATGAGAACTAAACACATAGACCAAAGTAAAGCCATGCTAAAGTCTGCATGCTTCCATATGCAAAACTTGGTTAATCAGTCATGAGATAAATCACAAAGAACTCACAAAATAGAGAAAATTCTTGTAAAGTTTCCTATTAATAGCTTGCTCATACCACAGACACTCATACTATAAAAGAAAATAGACCACAAAATACACCTTTTAAAAGTTAAACCCTTGCCCTGACTGGTTTGGCTCAGTGGATGGAGAGTCGGCCTGCGGACTGAAGGGTTCCGGGTTCGATTCCGGTCAGGGGCATGTACCTTGGTTGCGGGCACATCCCCAGTGGGGGGTGTGCAGGAGGCAGCTGATTGATGTTTCTCTCTCATCGATGTTTCTGACTCTCTGTCCCTCTCCCTTCCTCTCTGTAAAAAATCAATAAAAAAAAATATATTTTAAAAGTTAAACCCAGCCCTAACTGGTTTGGCTCAGTGAATAGAGCATCGGCCTGCGGACTGAACGGTCCCAGGTTCGATTTCGGTCAAGGGCATGTACCTTGGTTGTGGGCTCATCCCCAGTAGGGGGTTTGCGGGGGGCAGCTGATCGATGTTTCTAACTCTTTATCCCTCTCTGTAAAAAAATCAAAATACATTTAAAAATAAAAGTTAAACCCAACAATTCCCATTCCAGTAATTTTTCATAGGTGCTACAAACAGATACAAGCTCTACCTCCAGAGAAGGTTAAGGTCTCTCTCTCTTACTCTACTAGTGAGGAGAGACGAGGACTCTGTCTGTGAAGTGGCTTTTCTTGCTTGTCCTCTTTGCTCAGTGATCTTGCTGCCTTACTTCAAGGCTCATTCTTAAATTCTTTCTGGCATGAAGCCAAGAACCCTCTTGGTTCTGGGGTTGAGTCCCCACCAGGGACTCACCCCTCCGAAATCAGTATGAACTTTACAAACAGACCCTTGTGTCCGAAAGCTACTTCCAACACCTAACTGTAATTCAGGCAACCCATTTCATCTCTCGGCCTCCTTTGTGCTGCCTCCTATATTTTGCAATAGGCTCCCTCCCACCCTTCCCTCTCCCTCTCTGCTTGCTTTAACTGGTTCTGCTGCATGAGACCAAGAACCCTGATAGATATGGTGCTATAGGAGGCAGACAGGCATGAGCAGAGCAAGACAATAGGTCAGGTACAGAATGTCACCAGGGCAGAAAGCGCCTAGCAATGGATACCTAGCAACAAGCACAACTAGGAGAGCAAGTGTTAGGAATTAAGTATTGTAATTAGGACCTTTCCCCTGAGGCATCCTTTCCTCCCTTAGAGCTGCTCCAGTCATACAGCTCAGATCTTCCCATTGACCTTTTCTCCTCTGGCATGTGGTTAGTCATGTGTTGTAGTAATATATGGAAATGTTTAAAAATGCTTTAAAAATAACTAAATATGTTAAAAAGGTTTTAAAATGTTTGAGTTACCTTTCCTGAAACCTGAAGTGTGATATTAAGGACACATTCCCCACTGCCCTGAAGCATGTGTACCCAATAGATAAGGGCTTGAACTTCAGTTACTGGTTCAGAGTGACTTGCTAAGATAATTATTTGTGTGAGTGATGTACTCTCCCTAGATAACCACATGTATCCCCTCACCCTGTTTGAGATTAACATGTATGCATTGACGTAATTCATTAATAGCCACCTGCACTGCTGCGGGTACGAAACAGGCTTTAAAAATGGGTCCTCGCCAACCAACAGTGCTCCCCTGTTGAGACGGCCACAAAGACACATCCTTTTGTTAATCTGGCAAGCGACAGGGCTCCAGCTCCTCTCTCTGCCAGACGACAGAAGAACGACTAGTACCTCACAATCGAGACGTGACAGAGCTCTCGGGTGAGGAACGCTGGCCCCCTGTATCCGGACCAGACCAGCCCAGCTGCTGGACCCCAGAGGACAGCACCACCGGGATCCCATCAAGCCTGTACCCACAGCATCAGGAACTTTTGTGAGTAACAAAATGCTGAGTGATTTGCAACTGCATATGTTTCATGTGGTGTAATTCCTCCAGCAGTTAGTTGAATCATTTTGCATACGCTTAAAACTGAAATTAGCCTGACCGGGTTGGCTCGGTGGATGGAGCATCGGCCTTCAGCCTTTGGACTGAAGGGTCCCAGGTTCGATTCCGGTCAAGGGCATGTACCTTGATTTCGGGCAAGTCC